TCCAGATTAAGTCGACGTTCCTTCTTGTGTTCTCAAAACGTTGTCTACCAGGGATAAAGGCAACCTGGTCTGCGTTGATCAAGGTGTTTAGAAAGGGATTTAGCCAGTCCGTCTGTATCCTAGCTAGTATCTTCATGTCGTTATTGATGAGCGATATGGGCTTGTAGTTTTCGGGTTGTAGTGGATCTTTATCAGGTTTTGGCAGCAATATGATTGTGGCCAACGACATGTCTGGGTCCGGAGCGGAGGCTCGTCCCCAGCTCACAAAGAGCTTCACTAGCCTCGGTGTGAGTTCTTCTTGGAAGGTCTTATAATATGCTCTGTCAAACCCGTCTGGTCTGGGTGCTTTTGTTCCCGCTCAGGCCCGAAATGGCCCTGTCCACATCTTCCTCCGTTATCTCCGCCTCCTAGCATCTCTAGACAACTTGGGTAGTGCCAGTCCTTCCAGGAATCTTCGTATTTGGTCTTCTTCTTGGGCTTTGTGTGTGGTGGTCTTCGAAGTGTGGTTGTATAAGAGTTTGTAGAACTCCTCGAAGACTGCACTTTGGGTTCATTTTTATGGAGCCATCCGGGTGTTTGATAGCAGTAATGTGGGATCGTTCTTGCCTCGGTCTAAGCGTTCTTGCTAGAAGTGAGTCCATTTTGTTGACCTTCTCCTAAAAAGTCCTCCTTCCCCACAACATTGACCTGGCTGTATTGTCCAGCAATAACGTCCATATCGAACGTCTAACGGATTCCAATTGGCAAAAGGTTCCGTCCTCTCGCTTCATTTGGTGCCATAGTAAAAGGTATAGTCCTTGACTCCTGGATGCTGCGCGCGCCACACATCTATTAGGCCTGTCTCCGTCACAAATTCTTTGAGCAATTTATCTTGTCCCCCTCTCCCCTGAGATCTGGGGCCTCCGTGTTTCGTACTCCTATCCACCGCCGGGCATGGCACCACGTTAAAGTCTCCTCCAGTGATAATCAGTCCATGCGGGAGTGCTGCCAGTTTTTCCTTCAGCTTTGCCCAAAACGCCGGCTCAGGCTGGTTTGGTGCGTATACGCTAACCAGGTCTACAGTGTGCGAATGCAAGGTGCCAGTAACTAATAGAAATCTGTACTCAGGGTCCGCCTCTGTGGAAGTCATGCGGAATGGGCAGCTATTTCGGATTAATATAGCTACTCCGTTTCGCTTGCGATATGTCCTAGCTTCAAAAGATACAGGGTATGTATGGTCCCTCAACCTGAATTTCGCTTGATTTGGCAAATGGGTCTCCTGAATGAAGGCCACGTCTGCTTTCATCCTTTTTAATTCCCTAAACAGCAGTCTACGCTTCCTAGGCGCGTTAAGGCCCTTAACGTTCAACGTGGAGAAATTTACAGCCATAGCAGGTCTCTAAGTGCTCTGCCATAGGAAGTTCCTGTACCTGTTCCGTGTGTCCACCACCATCCCACCCATCTGTCCGTCAATCTATAGTCATTCCCCCACCCCACTGACCCCGCACACCCCCAGCACCCCCCCAGAAAAAACACTTCAGAAGACAAAGGAGAAAAGAAAAATAAGAATAGAAAAAGAACACTGAGCCAACGTACACCTTCCTTTCCATATTTGGTCTGGTCTTAGTTATCGCCGGACTCCTGTGGGGTGCACGGTCCAACCTCTCCCCTGCGATCAACGCCAGTAGGAGTTGTGGAACCCTGAGCACTGATTCGCATGCGCCATTTATGCCTTATATGGACCATACTTTCATTATACATAACACTTCAAACTGCCGCTAACCGTGTATTGGAATCCCTTAGAACTAAAACAAGTACAAACTTCTGGGCAGTCGTAACGCCCGTCTGACCCTTACATCTCTATGTGGAGCTTCAAACAGGGCTTCACTTAACACCACCCTGAGCCTCTTTCCCACCCCCATCCAAAATTACAGGGACATTTAGAGTGTCCGTTTGTTTTCCCCCCTCTTTTATGGATTTTAGTTTATTTTACTCTTTTAGTTGTGGGGTTTGTTCAATTTGTATGGAATTGCATTCTTCACGGAGCTCCCTCCCTCTAAGGCCTGAGTCCGCCCTACCTTCTGGTGTATGTTACCTATAGTGTGTCCCCTTAGTCATGCCCGTCTTGGTTCCTACAGGCCTTCTGTAAATTGAGCACCAGGGTTTTCGTGTTTGTTTTTCATTTTGTTTTACGTTTTGGGCTTTCCGTATGTCAAGGTACGAATAGTGGTAGCCTTCAACATTATTAGCTAAATAAATCCACCCCCCCTTGTACACACTAATCGTACATTTCGGGAGACAATTCCTGTACATTCAGCCCCAACCTGGTGGGAAGCTGGTGTCACTCTAGAGTTATTTTCAAAACCCAGCCCCTTGTGGAGTCATAAACCCAGATGTATTACGGAATTCTGATGTTTTGCCTTTTTCTTTGTATTGGGTTTTCCACCTGTCAAGATACGTACTGTGGTAGCCTTCAAATGTTGTGTGCTAAAATATTCCGTCCCCCTCCCCCCCACGCTTCCCGTACATACTGGGCATACATTTCAAGAAACAATTTTTGTACATTCAGCCCTGACCCTTAGTAAGCTTGTGTCACCATGGTTACCACGGTTATCATCGAGATCCCAGCCCCTTGCAAAGTATTAAACCCGGATGCGATACTACATCCTAAGCGGGGTTTATTATGTATAATTTGTCATAATGTTACGGGAACACACAGCAACAGGTAATCTATCTGCATCTAGTGGAGTGGTGACAACCACGGTTTTGTCTGCAATGCACCAAGAAAAGTGAAAAGGGAAACAAAACAAACTTTTTCAGTACATATGCCATACACAGGCCTGCTCTTGGTTAACCAGATAACACCGTTGGTAACAGCAAGCACACCCGGTTACTGGATCCTCCACTAGGGTGTCCCCGGGCTCTCCCCGAGCGGGGGGCCCCTAGTACCTCGACCCTGGGTGGTATTTGGGGGGTTTGGGAGGCATAACTGCCGTCTGCCCTCCGCATCCTTTCCGGTGCTCCATTGATCATGTGTGTCCCACTCCATGTGCCCTAAAATGTGGCTCTGCCCTTCAATGCCCAGTGGCTCCCATTCCCGTTATATGTTGGCCTCCTTTCTATTTGGAATGCCCATATGGGGTAAAACATCGCCAACCTTATTGGTGGGCCAAAGGCAGTCCCGCTTTTCCCCAGGACCCTGTCTCGTACGTCCCGAGCCCCTCTTCCCCCACCCAAAATTCAGCCCATTCCCCCTGTGCGTGGCCTGAAGTGAGCCTCTCCCGGGACCTCTCCCCACCCAAAGCAGAAAAACAATCCCCTCAGATCAAGGTATCAAGGAAAGCCCCGTCCCCCTCCCGCAACTGGAACGTATACCACCCATTTACCGGAGAGTCCTCTGAGGTCCCCTCTTGATACGATACCATCACCGGTGGCCTCGTGCTCCCGCCTCCTGCCATTTGACTGGGATCAGGGGTAGTTACACTGGCTGGATTACCACACTGGGGAGGTCCACTGGGGGGTTGGATGCCCAGGCTCCGAAACAGCCTCTGTGGATCGCCTCCTGGTGCTAAGATGTGGGTCCGGTCCCCTTGAAACGCCAGCAGTTTAAACGGGAAACCCCACGCGTACCTGACACCCGCGTGTCTCATGGCCTCCGTGATGGGTCTCCACTCCCTGCGCCGCTGTAACATAGAGGGTGCCAAGTCTTGATACAACGAGATCAGCGTTCCCTCATGTCGGATGGGCCCCTCTCTGCCCTTCTTCATTAGGGCCTCTTTTGTGCCGAAGTGAAGAAATCTAACGATCACGTCTTGAGGAGCATTGACGTCCACCCTTTTTGCTCTCAGGGCCCTGTGGACCCTCTCCATTTGCCACCTGTCTTCTGGGACATCGGGTAGGAGCGGCCTTGGAATTTTTTGCACAAGTTCTGGTAAGCCGTCCTCTTCGCTCTCAGGTACGCACCGCAGCCATAAGTTGTTACGCCGCAATCTATTAGCCATATTATCCAGGGCTAAGTCTGTCTCCACCATGTGGGCAGCCATCCAGTTTACTTGCGCTACCAGGTTGTTATGTGCCTGGGTGTTAGTCTCCATACTTTCCTCCAGCCGCGCTGTGCGTGTACCCAGCGCCTGGATCTCCGACTGGAGTACCGGCGTAGATTTGGCGATTTCTCCCGCCAGGTATGAGACCCGATCCTGGTCTGACGAGGCCGTGTCCCGCTCAGCGTGTGTTGAGGCCCTCGGCGACCCCGCTCCGCCATCTTGTCCCTCCGGCGGCCCGTGCTTCTGGGCGGTCATGAGGTCGAGTACTGTGTTCCCGGAATCAGGTCCCTTCTTGGGCTGCTTCTTGGGATTTCTTTTATCCATTTCAGTTTCATTTTTAAGTTTAAGGTCGCTTTTGTGGGCTTTTTAGGCGCAAATAGAGTGGAACTCTAGTGAGGCACGTCCAGCTCTCTTGGCGATCAGGCCACACCTCTGTGACTTTTTTAAAGGACAAATTAAGGAACACTGGTGCTAAAAATATTTATTTCTAATGTTAAAGTGTTTGTTTAATTTGTGTTGGTGTCCATAGTGTCCACCAGAAGCCTAGGTTTATTCAGTTGTCCACTGGAATAAAACAGGGACTGTTGGTGGGACATAAGGACTGGTTTGGGAACCACTGTGGCTTAGGCTAACCTTTGACACAGCTGCTGTGAGGTACATTTGACATTATCAGCCTCAATTTAAGGGAACACTCCAATCACCTTAAATAATAAATAATGGGGAAAGTTATCTGTCAATAAGCAGTGATAGAAATATAGGTTCTAAAATGGTAAAAGCAATTAATGTTTTAGAAGAGAGGGAAAGAAATGAACGTAGGATGAGCATCAGAATAGGACAGGCAGAATTAATCACATCCATTTACTGCATACATCATACTCTCTAGTGTCGTGTGTCACAGGAAACGTACAGCTATCATTTCATTTGCATATAAATTTGAACTCCTTACGCAACCCACTGACAAATATTTGAGCTAGTTTACTATCGAAATAAGAAGCAGTGTTCAAACATAATTTTCACTCCTGGGGTATAGAAGGGACAGGCACTGGTAGTCTCCGATGAGGATATGAGTTTTCTATTGTCCAGCATTTCCATCTTTTCTGCAAAGAGACAAGTAGGTCAGATGTTAAAATTTGCAGAAACGGAGGGTGACAGTACAGCACCCTGGCATGCCAGGTTGACAGAAGGTTGGGCCTATGCAGAGGAGGACATCTGGCACTGCACCAATTCTATTCTTAGCGGCGTTTCTCAGAAAAGAAAAGGACACCAGAACATCAGCATGATATGCTGGCAAAAAGAGCCACGATTCATACCAAACACTTGTCTACGAGGATTCTTTTGAACTAGTGATAATGTGACATTATTCTGTGACAGGAATAAAAAGTTGAGGTGCAGCTTCTCAAAAGTAGTGTAATAATTATTTGCTATGTCAACCAAAAAGCGTATGTGGTAGTGGTGGCTGGTGAAGTTTAAAGATGGTGGGATGCAGGACTCCATAGTTAAAAGAAGCAACAATCGTTACAGAATGAAACTATTGAAACTATTAGAATCTGCTCAGCACCCAGAGTTACAGCCCCAGTCCTGCAGTGTGGAATTTTACAACCTTTCAGCTAGGATGAGTGTCTCGTGTCTTGGTCTTATTGATGAAGGCTCTTAGCATTTTGCTGATCTTGTATAGAGCCAAGCATTGTGTCATAGGCTTTCTTGAAGCCAATCCAGGTTGTACACAGATTGGTCTATCTGGTCTTACAATCCCATGTGAGTGCTTGGTGTAAATTGGTGTTTTGATCTTCTGGTGTTGTTTCCAATCCCCTTCTGAGTATTACGGAGTATTAGCGCATATGTCATCGATCTTGGAGGCTATGATGCCCGACAGGAGCTTCCATGTTGTGGAGAGTCAGGTGATTGGTCGGTAGTTAGAAGATGTTCACTTGTGAGGGTATTGTGATTCGTATTTTCTGGTGTTAGGTAGTAGCTGGTTTATATGTTCATGCAGCATTGTTAGTGTCTTTAGCTAGTAGATCTAGATCATGACAGCTCGTGGGGCTGACCAACATTTCATGTGGGCTACTTGTTGTTGGATATCTCCTACTGTGATGGCGACTGGTTCCTACATACTCTTTTATTTTCTTAGTAGATCTTTCCATCTAAAGTTGATCCAGCTTAGAAACCTCCATACGTGTTGCCTTTATCTTTGCTTCCAGTTTTAGTCTCCCTTGTGGGAATTATTTCTATTTAAGCCTTCAGCTTGTAGTTAAGCATTTGGAGGAGGACCATATATGTAGTGGTGTACATGAGATTGTTGGTCTCTGTGATGGTGTTGACTGAGAGTGTGGACAGTGCCTCATTAACTGCTGCTAGCATACTGTGGTGACAATTTTCCAGTGATCTTTGCCCTTTAGTCAAGGACTGCTAGCTTTTCTATGATCATCTCCCATCTTGGGGGATAGTCAGAATGGCAACCCACTGTAAGGCTTATGTCAGTGGTATGAGGTTTGTGCAAGTCCATCTAATTCCAGTTGTGACACTAGCCTCCTCATGACAATGTTCAAAGTTGTGTAACTAGCTGTTTGGGGTTAGTGTAGTTCCCTCATACATTTTATGTAGCATGTTTAATTGGATCTGCTGTTGTAGTAGCAGTCAAGCAGAACTTGGTTTTCATTTCATGTCCAGTTTTGTTCCAATAGCCCATTAGTCAGATTGCCCTGGTTCGCTAGTATCTGACATGGACCTTGCTAATCCATGAGACATCCGAGCCAGCATTACGCTCTTTGTCTATGTTACCCTCATATTTTTGAGGTGGGTATATATCGTTAGATGTTTTGTCCAGGGACACTTACTGGTAACGTGGTCTGACCGGGATTCAAGATATATATCCATCTCTCTCTCTAGCTACATTTTTCTTTCTATCTAGATCTATCTCTCTATGAAAACGCACACATTGTATTGTGATACTAGATTAACCCCTTAAGGACCAAACTTCTGGAATAAAAGGGAATCATGACATGTCACACATGTCATGTGTCCTTAAGGGGTTAAGTAAAAATTTTTCTTCTTAAAAGAGTACTCCGGCAGACACTGAGGCTATCGTGGGAGATAAAAATATATTGTTATATACTTACATTGAACACTGGGCAGGTGCTTCTGCTCTAATTCTGCTTCTTCCAGATGGTTGCTTCTCTTTTTTGTGGGCACTGCAACCCCACTTCTGAGCCAATGATGACCCCAATATAAAGGCCAATTGCATGACTCCAGCTGACTTTGGTGCCCAAATAGCAAGTCAATGGGAGGTCCCTTGAAATTCCTTCCATAAGGAAAACAGACATGTGCAAAACTGCTAAGACATTTTTAACATGTCTATTTGCTCTCACAAAAGTTTCTCCATCAAGGGGATGGGCTCTACAGTACTCCAATTTATTACAGAATTAAAGAGACACTGTTTTATTTTTCCTTCTTTTAATTTTGACAGACATTGGCAATAGCAGGTGCATGTTATTTCCCCAATTAAAAAAAAAATTAAAAATGTAAGCTTACTTCTCCCACCCAGATAAATAATTGGTCCTAATCTGTCATTTTTTTTATTTTTATTAATATAAATTGTGGTGCTGCCGCAAGTAAGTGTCCCTGTAAAGGGGCATCCATTGGTATAGGGTGTGTGCTGAGTAGAGTGCTTATTTCCAAAAATACTTAAATTATATTATATGTTATAAAATGTAATAATTGGTGCTAGTTTTCTACACTGTGTATGTGAAAACATACACAGCATGTTATTTAATCATTGGGGGCTTCATAGAATTCTTCAGCCTTCTGGCCAGAGCATACACATTTCTCTTGTGGGTCACTACACTTGATCTTTGTCAAAAGATAAAAAAGCAAGTCCAAGGAGATTTTTGCAGGAAACCATAGGGAAGGTTCAAGTAAATGGTCGAGAGGAAATCACATTGATACAAGGTGTAACCTTTACTCTCTCACAATTCTATCCACAGCAAATCAAAAAACATGCATCAGGTTTTCTGGTGAATATCATATGTTTTCTGTAAGTCTTTTCTTCTTTATAACTCATTCTTTGCATTCATCGTATTTTGACTCTGGTTTTGACAGATTACATAACTGATTTTGTCATGGCTCAGCCCGAGCCCTGCAGACAGCAAGGCGTGACTACCCCTTTAAGAGACCTGGCTGGGTTTGATCCAGCATCCAAGTCAGGTTCTCTGCCATGACATCCACCAGGGGGCTTCAGTTTCTGTCTGCATTATTCTGCTTTTTCACCTCCTTGCCTGGATTAAGCAGCACTGAACCACCTGCAGCTGTTTACCAATTAGGGTCAGCTGCACCTAATTAGCAGGCTGTAAAAGCCAGCCCTGCCTGAAACCTAGTTTCTGGTCATTTTGCCTGTTTGGTGTTTCCTGCCGGTTCTTTGCTACGTTACTGACTGATTTCCTGGACTCTGACCTCTGCCTGCTTTACCGACTTCATTACTCCACTGCCAACCCTGACTTCTGCTTCTCATCTGGAACGCATGGAACAGGAGCTCCTCACAAATCCTGCTTTTTAGCCTTTATTCTTGACACCCGGCGGACTTTACTCCTCTGGTGGCTGCCAACCTCATCTGCGGAACTGCACCAGCTTGTTGGGTGGCAAGTTCCATTCCCCCCACCCCTCCAGACCGGTAGGGGTTATCCCAGTCCCCACCGCTGACTTACCGGCACCGTGGCAAGACGCATACCCAAGACCCGCTGAGCCGCGCAGCAACACTCTCCTGCAATAGCGGAGGCCACATGGCGCCCAACCCCCAATGCTGATGCTGGTGCTATAATCACCCAGCTGTACAGGCTTTTCCACAACTTTTGGCTGCAGCTCGAGCACATGTTGCACCAACCTGCACCACCACAGCCAAGTTCCTACCCACCTTGATGTCCTTTGAAGGTGTCCGTGGCTTCAAAAAAGGCAAAAGCTCCTACAATAAAGCGGACCAAGAAGCGCACCATGCCCAAAGGTATGATGGGGCAAAGGCTTGTCCTGCGGCTGCCTAAATATACTCACCAAGGTCGCTTGAATATCCACAAAGGGGAAGCATAGAGACTATCCGGCGAATACCTGAGTCCACCGCAACACTCGTACCTGTCACCTAAAGCGGGGAATCGGGTGAAGGAGTATGGGGGCCCCAGCAAATTCCTGGCTCGCTATGAAAATCTTGCTGGCATAGGCCCCAATCTTGTTCACATACTGACGGTGGACTCCTGTCTTATAGTATACCGGGCTTAGTTTTTACGTTGATATAGCTCGCTCTAAACCCCACTCTAATCCTTTACAAATTTGCATGTTTTATTGCATTACTCTTTTATTACTTGTTCTTCAACTTTTCAAACTCATGCTGAAACATATCCTGTTTTATTGATTATTACTTAACAAAAATATGTGTTATGATCCTCAAGGTCATGCCTATGTTAGACTTTGAAATGAGTGCACCTGTCTCTGTGGTTGTGGCATTGTAAGCTTTATTGTTCCTCTCTGCACAATCAAAATAAAGAATTATAAAAAAAATAAAACAACCCCCCCACAAAATCCACATGCAATGAAATTAATTGTGCTTTAAGGGAAATTGTTTGCTCACCAGAGTACATACATGACCCAGACCCACAGTCTAAATATTGCTTAAACAATTTAATTCCAGAGATCTCTAAGCTGTTTATACAGGGGAAATAAACAAGACGTAGACGTGGCATCAAGACCCTCTTCCAGGTTAAGTACTCTATAAAAAGTACGGAATACAAATCTTATTAAAACCATCACTCTACATTTGAAAATATGCAAAATATTTAAACGTTTGACATTTACCAGACCCCAACGCTATATTAATATTTAAGAACCAGAACAGCTGTGATGAAATAATTACCTAGGTGACCTTATTCAGCCAGTGCTGGATGGCCACAGTATGTGTGCCTGATTTAAAACATTTAATAAAAACTGAAGAGAAACTGTTGGATCCCTCTGGTTTAAATTACTACTTCGATGCCAGTACCTGGTTTGCTCCAGATTAACCCCTTAGTGACCAGGCCGTTTTTCAATGTTCTTACCGTCAAGAACCAGGGCTGTTTTTACATTTCTGCGGTGTTTGTGTGTAGCTGCAATTTTCCTCTTACTCATTTACTGTACTCACACATTTATATATCATTTTTCTCGACATTAGATGGTCTTTTTTAAGATACCATTATTTTCATCATATCATATAATTTACTATAAATTTTTTTATAAAATATGATGACAAAAACTAGGGATCGACCGATATTGATTTTTTTAGAGCCGATACCGATATTCTGTGAACTTTCAGGCCGATAGCCGATATTCTGTACATTTACCATTTTGGAAAATAAAAACTATTTCTAAAGGTAAATGCACAAAATATACATGCCACATGTAGTGGATGCAGTGTGTTTAGACAGGGGAGCTGTGTGTGTTTGTGTAGTGGATGCAGTGTGTGTTTCTGTAGTGCGTGTGTGTGTAGTGGATGCATTGTGTGTTTGTGTAGTGTGTGTTGAGGATGCAATGTGTGTTTGTGTAGTGGATGCAGTGTGTATTTGTCGAGTGTGTGTAGTGGATGCAGTGTGTATTAGTGTAGTGTGCATAAAGTGAATGCTGTATATACTAAATGCAAAGTGTGTGTGTGTGTATATAATGAATGCAGAGTGTGTATGTGGTTGTATAGTGTGTGTATATAATGCAGTGTTTGTGTGTAGTGTGTGTGTATATAATGCAGTGTGTTTGTATAGTGTGTGTATATAATGCAGTGTGTATATTTGTGTGCATTGTATATACACACACACACTATACAAACACACTGCATTATATACACACACACAGCATTATATACACACACTGCACAAACACACTGCATTATATATAATGTGTATATAATGCAGTGTGTTTTTGTATAGTGTGTGTATATAATGCAGTGTGTGTATTTGTGTGCATTGTATATACACACTATACACACATTATATACACAGTGTGTTTGTGTAGTGTATGTGTATATAATGGAGTGTGTGTCAGGGGGCATTTTTTATTAAATTATTATTGTGGCGAAACCAACCTCGCCACTGTGAACTGGAGAAGCCTGGTTGCTCGCCTGCTCCCTTTGGACTATGGCCCGGCAGGTTAAACCATTTATTTTCCCTGCAGAAAGGCTTATTCGTGTGATCTGAGTGCCATTCATCTAATAATGTGCGCTCAGATCAAAGCTATCTGGGGATGTGTAGAAATGTGTGTTTTATGTACTAAATGTATCAGTATGTAATTTTATGTCTTTTACTGTCTTTTTGTCTGCCATGTGGGTAATGGAGTTTTGCCTCTGTCCTGAGAGATAATTAGATTCCTTCCCCAATTATCTCCAGGCCAGAGGGGAGGGATTGTGAGGCATTGTGGGAGGTAACTCATGTGTGATTGGTGTATTGTGTAATTGTTGTGAATCCCTCCCTTGCATGGGAGAATCCTTTATAAGCCTGTTGTGTGAATAAATCAGGGTTGTTCCTGTTTAACCCTCCAAGTGAAGTGTCGTCTCATTCTTGGGGGGAATTTGACTGTATGCCGATTGCCAGGAGTGTAAGCTGTTCTTAGGGCTTTTCCTGTTCGTCTGCTTCCAGGGTTCGTGTGTTTCCTGTTCGGGAGTTGGGGATTCGTACAGTTTGGAGTTAGAGAGATTGGTGATTGCAGTAGCTGCTGGTCTATGGGAAAGGGGATTATCGCCTAAACGGTTTTTATCCTCTTGTGAGAGAAACGGTCCGTTACAATTATTATTATTATTTTTTTTAGATTTAATTTTTTTTTTTTGTCCCCCCTCCCTGGCCAGGCAACAAGCAGGCCACCAGGGATATGACAGTCCCTGGTGGTCCAGTGGTATTGGCTGAGCTCTGGGGGGAGCGGGCATCAAGCACTTACTCACCTCCCAGCAGCTCCTCCAGCTCCCCAGTGCAACTCTCGCGGCCAGCGACGCTCTGACGGCCGCAGGTCTCGCGAGAGTTACACTGGGGAGCTGGAGGAGCTGCTGGGAGGTGAGTAAGTGCTTGATGCCCGCTCCCCCCAGGACCGCCGGGCTTGTAATGAGCCTGGCGGTCCTAGGAGGTATTATTGGCAATATCGGTATCTGAATTGGCCGATACCGATATTGCTGAAAATACCGAATATCGGCCGATTATATCGGTAAAACCGATAATCGGTCGATCCCTAACAAAACCCCCCCAAAACCCACACGTTTTCTAACTTTGACCTCCAAAATCTGTTACGCATCTACAACTACCAAAAAAACTGTGCTAAATAGTTTCTAAATTGTGTCCTGAGTTTAGAAATACCCAATGTTCTTAGCTTTTTTTTGTGTGCAAGTTATAGGGCTATAAGTACAAGTAGGACATTGCGGTTTCAAAATATATATTTTTAAAATGTATCAATAGTGACATTGTAACACTGTTATCTGTCAGAAATCTCTGAATCTCACCTCACATGTACATATTTTTTTAATGTAGACAACCCAGGATATTCAATAAAGGGTATGTCCAGTCCTTTTTATTAGCCACTTAGTCACAAACACTGGCCAAAAAACAATTATGAATGCTAACTTTGGCCAGTGTTTGTGACTAAGTGGCTACTAAAAAAGACTGAACATACCCCATTTGCAACACCTTTGGTTGTCTTCTTTTGCAAATGGTATGCCATCATGGGAGTAATTCTCATTCCTGGGCTACCATACGCTCTCAAAGACAACATAACCAATCTGTCAAATTTCAATGTGAAAAAACAGAAAGTCAAGCCTTATATTTGACCCTGTAACCAGGGCCGGTGCAAGGATTTCTGCCGCCCTAGGCAAAGATCCATTTTGCCGCCCCTTCATGTCACACACTCACTGACAGACACACATACTCTGACACACAGAAACTAACTGACCGACATACACTCACTCACTGACCGACACACACACATAGAAACTCACTGACAGACATTCACTCACTGACAGACATACTCACTCAGACACTCACTGACAAACATGCACTCACTCACTAACATACACACACACTCACTGACAGACATACACTCACAAACTCACTCAATGACAGACACACACACACTTAATGACAGACACACACATTCACTGACAGACACACATGCACACTTACTGACAGACACACACTCACTGACAGACATACTGACAGATATACACTAACTGATAGACATACACTCACACACTCACTCAATGACAGACACACACAGACACACTGACAGACATATACTCACTCGCTGATGCACAGACACTCACTGACAGACATATACTCACTCACTGACACACACACACACAGGCACTCACTGATAGACACACACAGACAAATACTCACTCACTGACAAACACTCAACTCCCTGGAGTCCAGAGTGGGGCAGATCCTCACTTCTCCTGCCTGCCGTTTAGTATGCCGGGGGCCGGAATTACGTCATATTCCGGCATCACAGAGGGCGCGTAAGGGAGGAGTGAGAGGCTGCAAGAAGAGCCTCCCTCGCCACCTGCCTACTCCAACCCATCTCGTCCGGTCACTGGCATTTGATGGCAGAGCAGGCACTTTTAATCAAGGTAAGAAGGTGCCTGCTCTGCCTTATTGTGACAGGGCTCCTCTGGGTGCCCCCATCTTCGGGCGCCTGGCGGAGCAGCCCGGCGCTGAGGGGGGGGAAGCAGCTCTAGAGCCGCTCGCTCAGCGCTGTGGTTCAAGATAGGGGGAGCCCACCAGGAAATATCCCGGTGTGCACCCCTATCAGGCCGGCGCCCTAGGCAAATGCCTAGTTCGCCTAACGGTAGCGCCGGCCCTGCCTGTAACTTTCAAAAACACTATAAAACCTATACATGAGGGTACTGTTATACTCGGGAGACATTGCTGAACACAAATATTAGTGTTCCAAAACGGTAAAACGTATCACAACAATGATTTCATCAGTGAAATTGCTGTTTGTGTGTGAAAAACTTAAAAAAACTTTCACTGACAATATCATCGCTGTGATATGTTTTACTGTTTTGAAACACTAATATTTGTCAGAAATGCTGAATGCTGATGTGAGCCTGTGATCTGGAATGGCAGGAACACGGAGGTCAACTGGCCTAGGTCGTTCCCCTAAGACATCTGTTGGGAGTTCCTTTATCAACCCCACATCAATCAGACCTGATCCAGCACCCCAATTCAAGTGGACCCTCGCAGTGGGTACCTGGTGTACTGCTCCCCCTGCTACCCGTACAACTACAGAACCTCTGGTTCGCGCGGCATCTGGGACCAGGTGTCACTTGACCAAGGTGAGAATGGCTCCCGTGTCTCGGAGATCTTGCGCTGGCATTCCGTATAACTGGACGGATTGTCGATGGTGCTGTCAGTTCTCCGTAGCGGCTTGCACCAGGTCAGCTTCGTGAAGGGTACCCAATTCCTCCTCGGTTGGTTCGAACTTGGGTACAACTGGGGGAACCTCTGCATGATAGTAGGGGACCATTGTCTGTGCTGGAGGAGGTGACTCTGGTTAGATCCATGCAGCTTGGTTCCAGCTCTGGGTACAGTCTCATCGATAGTGCCCAAACTGATTGCACTTGTGGCACTGTACCCCACTGTGGGACAGGTATTTGGGTGCCTGTGAGTTGGAGGAGTTCTCCTCCCTCTGTGTTAGTGGTGGTCCAAGGTTGGTAATTAGGGGCTTGAGCATTGGCTTGAGACTAGGTAGTTGCTGCCTGTGAGCGTGGTAGTAGTGGACTGTAGCCCGAGCTGGCTGTGGGGGGACGATGTTCCCAGCTCCCTTGGTTCCGGTGTGGGCAGTTAGCTTTATAATGTCCCGGTTGACTGCACCCATGGCACAAGGGCGTAGTGCGTCGGAAGCGTGCTGGGGTAGAGGCCGGCATAACTAGAGTTGGTCTGGGTGGGGGTGGTGCGCTTTGCGCTGGATAGGATGGCCTGAAGTGGTTCACCCTCTACTGGGCTCCATTCTCCTGACATCCTGATACCCATCAGCCAATTTGTCTGTTTCCTCCACAGTTCCAGGCTTACGGTCCCTCAAGTTAAAATATATAATTTAAAATATATAAAAAATATAAAATCTATAATTTAATTTAACATTTGTACATATTCACCAGTTAGTAAATGTTTAGCATTGTCAGTTTTGAATGCTTATTACTCCCATACATTTAATATGACTTGTACTATTGTATTAGGTCACATAGAAACATAGAAACATAGAATGTGACGGCAGATAAGAACCATTCGGCCCATCTAGTCTGCCCAATTTTCACTAGTCCTATTTGTCACACAAATTTTAATATTTTTCACTGTGGCACTAATTTTGCAGTTTGCTTCACTGGCGTGTTCACTTTAATGACAGTGACTTTTGAGGACGAGGTGATGCTAGGCTTGGGGGTCGCCGAGTTTGTTATGCAGATCTGGATTCTTCCGTCCTGTTGTTTTCTATTCACCTCACATTTCTCGTTCACCCTTTCAGTACTATACACCGATCTAATAGCTTGGGTGGTTTCCATGGTAATCACACGTTTACGCCGCCCAACGTCTACACGTGATGACGCTAAGTGGGCGGTCTTAACTCACTTCCGGGTTTCGGAGAAGGGATTCACAGCGCAACTGATTGGTAAGGGTATTTACCATTTATGTATATATATTTATTGAATATGATAGCACAGTAACCTTGAAAAAGACCCGCAGGGGTCGAAACGTTGGTTGTCTTTATTTTGCACATGATTGAATAAATCACTCTATTTGTTCAAGACCCGAGAGTGCACCCTGGATATATATATATATATATATATATATATATATATATATATATATATATATATATATATATATATATATATATATATATATATGTGTATTTTGATATATATATTAATATCAAAATACAGTAAGTATAAAATTACATATATATTTTTTATTATTTTTAAATTTTTAATTTATTTTTAATAATTGTATTTTTTAGAATATATGTATACACTATATAATTATATATTATATATGTACACGTGTGTAATTTTACTCTGTGTATTTTTATATTAATATATGTATAAATTAATTAAAAAAAATACACTTAGTATGACGTTATATATAAGATATGTGTGGTGGATGTGCGGTTCGTATGCTTCCCGCTTGTAATATGTGTGTCTTCTCTGTAATTCGTTTGTTGTGCCCGCTCCAAGTTTGGGAGTGCTTCCTCGAAGGGAATTAATTCACCTCCCGAATGAGGACCACCCCAATACCTCATTTAGAATGTTAGTATAGAATGTTCACACCTCCCATCATAAGTGTCAAAACCGCACACCGCAAGGGAAGCAATTAATGAGTGCTGTTCTAGGCGGCCGCCATTCGTACTGCCGAACGCCACCAGGGGAGCATTCGTGGATTGTTTCCGGACTCATTCAAATCCCGAACGAGGGCCTCCCTGGTGCCCCATTAGAACGTTCACACCAATTAATCAGAACGCTTGCACCTGCAACATAGGTGTGAAACCGCAAGGAAAGTAATTAATGATTGCTCCCCTGGGTGGCCGCCATATGTACAGACGAATGCCATCCAGGGGGAGCATTCGTACCCCGAAAGGAGAAGCTTCGCTTGTCTGTGTTTCATGCCAGGACCTGGCAAATGGAGCCTAGTCGATCAAGGGACCGGAGGTGAGGATCCCCGAGATTGGTGTGGGCACTTTTGGGGCACTGGCGAGCTCTCATGAGCCCGGGCAGGCTTTTCTGTGCCTGGGAGACAAAGGGATAGTCCCTTTTTCCAGCGCCTAGGCTCCCAGGCACAGAGGATCTTGGGAAGAAGACGCCCGGTGGCTGGTGTAGGGAACCCTGGGGATTTAGTGGTGGGCTTTGGGGACAAAGGGAATGGAGTCCCTTCTTGCGCTGGGACCCCGGGAGGGGGAGGTTCATGGGATGTCTGTGTGATCCACCCCTTGCACGGGGTATGCATAAAAGCTGTGTATGGCCAATAAAATTGTGTTGTACCTCCAGAAATGTCTTGTCCAGTTACTGGAGGGGAAATTGGCCTCTTTACCTTTTAAGTGGTTCCCGACTGGCTGAAGGAAGGGAATTAGCGGAGGTAACCAGTCGGGTTACCCTGGGTCCGCTACAATATATACATCTATCTGATATTTACATATTTAATTAACTTAATTTTTTTATTTTAAAAAACTTATTAACTTTTTTTTTTTTACCAGCAGGGGGACTGCCTGTCCAACACTTTGGACGCCTATGGAGAGTGATCACATGGCCCTTGGGGTTCTATTTTGCTGAGGGGAGACTGTCTGTGCTGTCAGACAGTCCCCCCCGATGGAGAAGACCGATCGATGGCGGGGGCACGGCGGCGATCGTGTAAGTAATTTAGGATTACCTCAGATGTACAAGGTATGTCCGGGGTCCTGGAGGGGTGGGGGATTATTACTGATTTTTAAAACATTTTATTCATTTTACTGAGTGCCTCGACCCCTCCATGGACATTTGTCTAAGAACAGATTAGGCTGGGTGTTACACAATCATGAAAAAAAAAAAAAATACAACCTCAAATGAACATGTGCCTAAGGCTACATAAATTGATGCCACTCCTAAATGGCAGATAATTGAGCTGTGAGACTGCAGATATACACCAAAACTACTTCATTAAGCAAAAGGTGTTTTGGTGCTTAGAGTTTAACCCCAATCGTTTCTTTTTATTTTCATACCTGATATGTCCTTTGTTCTCGGGGGTGGCCGCCATTCGACAACCGAACACGTGGCGGCGGCCATTTTAAAACTCCCGAACAGCGGTGTTTTGCTGTCGAGTGTCTGGAACTAAAATCGGACACTCGAGTAGGCGAACACCGCTGAGACCTCCACAACCCTGGTCCGTTCGGTTCCAAACTACCGAACGGCCCCTCGTTCGGTAGATAGAGAATACCGAACGAGGGGATTCAGGCGAACCCTCCCTAGCCTCTATAGCTAGAGGTTTTCGTGTATTTTATTCCCTTATGCCAGGACCGACCGCAAGGCCCATTCACATGGAACCGAATTCGGCTATCTCAGTTCGTGCGGTCGGTCATTTTATTCCCTCCATACTTTTCCCGAACCCCTGGTCTGATCTGGGTGATTTTTGGATATGTTGTTCACCCAGATCAGGGCTACCAGGGGATGTATGATTTAAAGAGGTACCCCTACGTTTAGGGGTACATCCAGAAATGGGGGGAATTGGTGTGCTGGATAAGGGGATTATGATGCTGGCTGAGGGGAGGAGATGTGTGGGAGGTTACCAGGACAGGATTGGCTACTGTAATAATTACTGTAAGTTCCTCCCTTGCATGGGAGCATGCTTTATAAGGAGACTGTGATTAAAGGCTTGTCAGTTATGCTCCTGAAACTGTGTGTCGTCCAGTTATTGGGATTGCTGTTGGGATATTGCTGTATTTTACCTGCTGGAAACCCTGCCTTTGGATTTACTATTTACTTGTTCCTGAGTCTCACTTGGATTATAAGCGGAGATAACCTGGGTAATATTGCATCTCCGCTACAAACAGCTTGTATATCTATTAACAATGTTCTGCTTAAGCACAAAATACAGGACTTAAGCAGTGGTCCATGTGCCTTAACATGCTCAGGCTGACAATATAAAGAAACAAGAGAAAATTGTAGCCGACGTTTATTATGTAACTTAGAATGTGCATTACTCATCCTTTCTAACTCAGCTGTCTAAGGAGGAGCAGATATTTTTAGCATTATTACCTTTTTCAGGGAAAGTTGTTTGAGAAGTTTATTTTTAACCTTTAAAACAGTCATCCCTCCACTGAAAAAATAAAATAAAACACTCACTGACTGTGTTGGAGTTTCACTGAAATTACAACTCATTTAAGAGATAAAGTAGGGACTACGCCGTTTCTGTATATTTCTTATGCCTTATACGTCTAGAAGATGGCAGCATCTGCAAGGGACAGGATCAGGTAAGAAAGTCTTAGCTTGCTTAGCCACCCCCACAGCAGCAATGTCAACATTGGGGGTCGTTGCAAATTCTGCAGAAGCCCCAGGCGGTGACTGTGAGGCTTTAAAAAAAAAAAAAATAATATTGCCTTGTGAACATTTCCATAAAGTCTACGATATTTTTCAAATGCAAATAAATAGCATCTGGACTCCACAAAGGAGTTCTGAGCAAAATGGGTTCTGAGAGCAAAAAAAATAAATAAAAAATAAAGAAAAGCAACCAATTCCATGCTTTCACATTTGAACCTTTATTCTGCTGATCAAAAATAAGTTAAACTCAACCTGAAGTGATTTTTAACTATGCAAAGTGGCAAGAAAAAAAACAAAAAAAAAACCCTAATGTTTTCCTAAACCTTTTTTAACTTGAGTACCTCTTGGCAGCCCATTCCCATAAATTGTACCCCTTGTATTAATAAAATGTTTATAAATATAGTTACTGTTATTTAGAATGTAGACACCTTTCTCTGCCTAAGGCTCCCCTGCTTTTCCTGTGCCCCAGGCTTCCCCTGCTCTACATCTGCCCCATGATCCTCCTCTGCTCCAGGCCTCCCCTTCGTTCTCCTCTGCCCCAGGCTCCCCCCTGTGCTTCCTCTGCCCCAGGCACCCTGACCTTTTCAGTCCCAGGTTCCCCCTGCTTCTCACAGTGCAGATAGAATCACATGCAAATGTACACATATCCAAACAATGACACACTGACACATATGCAGATACATAAACCAGGGCTTGCTCAAATTAGGAGCCAGCAAAAAAAAGTTAGGAGCCAGATTTTCAACGTCAAAAATAAAATTCTCAAAAGGGACATGTCACCAGAACCACTACAGCGTAATGTAGTTCTGGTGTCTATGGCCTGTCCAAGCACACTTTTTAGAGAAAAGGCAGTGTTTACATAGTTGCCTATTAACACTTCTTGTGACAGTCACTCAGATGGCCTCTGGAAGTGCACCCTCTGTCAGTGCTGCACAGTACGTTGCACCTACGTTCAGTGTCTTCACGCTCTGCATGCAGGGCGCAGGCTCTGAAGATTCCCCATAGAGATGCATTGATTTAATGCATCTCTATGAGGAGATGCTGATTGGCACAGCGTAACATTTTGTCATACATGCCAAAAGCCTCCCAATGCTTTGCTATGGGAAGCCATTGGATTGGTTGGGCTCATTAAAAGGACACTATAGTCACCAGAACAACTACAGCTTATTGAATTTGTTCTGTGAGTAGAATCATTACCAGAGAAAATGCAGTGTTTACATTACAGCCTAGTGCTAACTTCACTGGCCACTCAGATGGCTGTTAGAGATCCTTCCTGGGTCATGGCTGCCTAAAATGCATCCAAACATTCAGTGTCTCCTCCCTCTGCATTCAGACACTGAACTTTCCTCATAGAGACTCATTGATTCAATTAATCTCTATGATGAGATGCTGATTGGCCAGGGCTGTGTTTGAATCATGCTGGCTCTGTCCCTGGTCTGCCTCTTTGTCAGTCTCAGCCATTCCTATGGGGAAGCACTGTGATTGGATCAGGCTACCACTTCTGATGTCAGCAGACTGCTAGTTTTACCAAGGCAAACACATGCAGAGTTACAGCTTCAGGCGTGAATACAGTAAGATTTTGAGATTACAGTTCCCTTGCCACCCCCTCTGCCTCAGCCATCCATGAGTCACCAGCTTGCCCACGCTCTCCATCTACATCTACTCTGTCGGCCGACTGGCCGCCTCCATTCACAGTTAGCTGGCCACCTCTGGGGCTGAAAAATCCCAGGTGCCAGGACAAAAATGCTAGTCGCCATGGTAATCTGGGATTTGTCAAACCCCGATAGGAACACAGATAAAAACACTGACACGCATGCAGATGCACAGACACACAGATACACATGCTGACATACATGCAGATACTCAGATGCCCACACTGACACATACAGATGTACAGACACAGATACAAACACTAACATGCTGATGCAGACATACTGACATGTAAATGTCCAGGCACACAGATACAAACACACATACAGGTGAAAAATGTAGCCACACATCAGTTTCCTACCTTATGGGAGCAGAAGGGGTTGATCGGAGTTAGGCGGTGGACATGTCGGGGCGGGGGTGTTTGAATAGAGGCGAGGTTAGCACACAGGGGCGGAGTTAAAAGGCAGAGGTCAAATTCAGTCAGCAAGCAGGTGGAGTTATGCTGGCTGGCAGAGGCAGGGCTGAGCAGATAAGGGGGTGGCATTGAGATACTGTGTGCGGATGGGGACAGGCACTAGCAGTTAGCGGCCCCTCTCCCTTCCTGTGCGGCAGAGTCTGAGTTGGGAGGAAATGACAGGATCTCTCTCACTTTCTCCAAGCTCTTACACATACACATTAAAACTGGGTAACTGGATCCCTCATGGCACATTTCTATCAGGTGGCCCTGAGGGCATGGGTCACCCGATGGAACTTCACTTAGGTTCCCAAATCGTGCAAGGCGGCTGCAGCGCTGCCTTTTACGTTTTTTTCCCCCGCGTACTCCCATGGGCCCTGAATTGTACCCCTGGGGGTATGCATACCATGGGTTTCTATAGACACGACTTCCACATTTTGGTACTTAATTTAATGAACGCTTTCCCATTTCGCTGAAAATGTTACACCATGGCCACTTTAGTGATTTGAAGTAGTCCAAATGAGATGCTGACAATCTGAACCATCAGTATGTTTTCAAGACTAAGATCCATTGAAATGCAGCCTGATGTACTTTTATTCTTGAAAAGAATTCAGTTGGATAACAGTTCCAAAACACAAAGATCCCATTGTGTAAAAATACATACAACAGAAGGAAATAAATTCAAACAAAGGGCAACGTTTATTTGATTACATTTTACAATAAATGAGTGTTAGTGCGCAAAAGCTTACAAATAAACCTAATTTGTTTTCTAGTTACAGGATTTATATAGAAAACAGTAAACACAAAACATTAGATTTTACAACAAAAACAAAACATAATCCTTAAGAGACAATGAAAGGAACATTACAAGCACAATAACCATATAGTGCCCTAGACACACCACTTAAAGTGTCAGTAGCCCGCTATGCCTGGCTGCACTTATTGACATAGACCACTCAGCTGATCCTCTCAGCCAACGACTGCAGCCCTGAATGCTGGAGCTTGGCTCAGTAGAGCTTACTGGAAGCCTTGCAGGAGCTTTTTGTAGCAGGAGTGTTGGCAGCAAGTGGAACCCAGGACACTATAACCACTACAACAGTTGTAGTGGTTATGGTGCCTGGATAGTTCTTTAACTATGCAAGAGTTTTATCAACGCAAGGTAACTACTCTGACACTTTTATGGGGATTATCCTATATACAGTGAAGCTGTATCACTGCCAATATACCACAGAATTACCATTTTGGAAACACATCTCTGCATGTTTCAATATCCCCAAACATGGTCAAAAGAGAAGCTATAGATGCAATCCTGGTTACTATACGTCTCCTCTATGGATTTACAGCTAGAAGAAAATCATTGCACTAGCATTACAGTTCTCAACTTTAATAATTAATAGTCATTATTGAAAAAAAAATTTTTTTTTGTATTGGTGTATTAAACAAAAAAATCCACGTAGAGGTTTATAATATTTTCTCCAAAATCCCTGATATTACAAATGCATTCTGTCCGCCCCTCAGTACAGACTGCATAAGTGGTGATGTAATTTAATTAATGGCGTGGGTCTGTTTGCTAGGCACGCGGGTATATACTCAGTTTTCAACAGGCTACAGATTGTTTCATTGGCAATTAAAGAACGCACTACTAAGTGTTTCAAGTATTCCAAAAACAGTTATCGAAAGCTTGGAATAGTAATTTTAAGAGACTTCCATAAAGGAGGAAACACCACCAAGACATTACAGTGTAATGACCATGTTTTAAAAGGTTACACGTTCAGATGAGTCTGCAGTCCTATAAAGAACATACTCTTCATTAGCATCAAAACTTAACTTTGGCTGAAAAGCTTAAAGCAAGATTTTATTAAAAATAATAACCTTAAAGACATGTGTTTGACAACTTTAATGACAAAATCTTTAATGAACTTTAACTCTATAAACACAGTAAAGTATACACCACAAACATTCATGGATTTTAATGGCATACTTCACAAATTAGAATAATCTGTTAAAAACACAGATTAAAGAACAGCGCCCCTCCCCCCCAAAAAGAAAAATAATTTAAAAAAAAACAAAAAACAAGAGAGTCTACTTAAAATTTCTTATCTTGGCAAATAAATATGGGGATTCAGTTACACCATGGCCCACCACTACGTAACAGGGCTTAACACAATATGGCCATGGTGTAACTGTATCCCTGACTTTGTTTGCCAAGATAGGGGATTTTAAGTAGCCTTGTAAAATGTAAAACAATTTTTTTGTGTGTGCTGTTCCTTTATCTGTATTTTATTTATTCATTTTTTTATATATATATATTTTGGTCTTTACAGCAGGACCACTACTTAGAAACACATGTTCCAGGTATGCCCACAATTCTCTAATTTCCCTGTGTAGATAAATTTTTAAAACATTGGTTTAAGAAAAGTGTGTCTCAAGGCACATTTGGATTTAAGCACACTTTGGTAGAGTTTTCGCAGTCTTAAAAAGGTGGACTAGAACATCTTAATCTACAGTACGTTTTACTTTAGTACGTGTGAGCTTGACAATCTGATAGGTGCGCTGACAGGCCTGAATATAGTCAAACATATAGAAAAAAGGCAGTTACAAAAAGGTCTTTTCCAACATCGATGTAAACAGATAAAACAGCCAAGGTATTTGACTCAAAACTGTTCACGGTATCATTTATAGACATGTTGCATCTCTTGCATATAACTGGCATTAACAGGTACTTCTTTGAACAGGCAAAAAGGAATAAAATCGCCATTGGAACAGACACTGAAGCTGAACTATGGCAGAGTATTTAAATCAAAATGTCACTCCCACTAATAGAAACCAATTAAATCCGCTTATACACAAACCATTTTCTTTTATTTCTGGAAACTTAAATGAGAGAATAAGTAAAAAGATTTAAAGAAAAAGACCCCAAAATTGTCATACTGCACAACAACATGTAACATTGTAAGCTAATTAATTACAAGCCAGGTATTTAAGACAACGTTCACCCAGGAACGGACACCGTTTTACATATACAGAGTTTCTAAAGGCTGCTTTTTGGTGTTTGCAAAAAGATTTCTTAAAGTATGATATGTACAACCCAAAAGGTTTCATTTACTCAATCAACTGCAGTAACCCCCAACTTTTCTGCAATAAAAAAAACAAAAATAAAAGCAAGCTTAGCCTCCATAATTGGCATAAAAATAACCTTTTAAACACCAGGTGTGAAACCAGGGGATCTGAGGTTATGGTATAATTTTAAACAATCTTCATATGTGCCATTTAATCTGTGTGCAAGCATAACATTGTGAGTTCACATAGATGGCGTAATAACAGTATACAATCCAATGGACAACAGTCTCAGTTGTTGCAGGTACAGGGTTGTGGTTGATTAGATGGTGGGTAGACACCCCTCATCTGAATCATCCTAAGTCAGTAGTAACAATAAGTTTTAATAACCAGACATGCCAGTTTCATGCCAACAAGTAGGATGTGCATGTCAGCTAGCGTTTTCACAGAGTTCCTGCAACTTTCACAAGTGCCTGTAGGGGTAAAACTCTACAATACTGCCTTTTATATTTATAAAAGGACTTTGTCTAGTCTACGTTTCCTTCAGTGGCTGCGCACACCTTTGAAGAAGAAAAGATTCAGAGTCAAAGTCTATAAAGCCTGACACAAACCGGAAGATTTTGGGATCTTTTGTATTCAAGTAGAGTCAAGTGGAAACACATTGATGAAAATTTCTAATTCAGATAAGCTCTAAAATTTCATCTCTGTACAATGCTAGCAAAAGCTGCCAGCAAATAGATCTATTACAAAGGATGTACTTTGTTTTTGACTAGTAAGCTACACCGAAAGCATAAAAATATATAAACTTGACACAATGACAAACGTATTTATACATTCACTTGTGATGTGGACAACTTAATGTTACTATAAATTTAGATTTTTACCCTCTATGAAGTGGAGATCATATTAGTTTTGCCTGAGCAAGTCACGTGTGCAAATTAAATCCAATCATATATTTTTTTTTTATATATCATTACATTGTTTATGTTTTTTTTTTTTTTTTAATCAAAAAAAAATAAAAAATAATAATAATAAAAAAAAAAAATCTAAGCCATAAAAAGAATTACTCCAAATCGCCACTGACCATAACATTTAACAAATTTCATACCTGGCGGCTTTTTGCAATAGGTACTTACAAGTCCCGTGTCAAATTACACCAATAGTGCTTTTAGTAAGCATGCATACAAAATGTGCTTATACCATGTATGCATAAACAAACAAAAAAATGGTATTGCAAACTGAACACAATAACTTAAAGGTCACCTACAATTATTGGACAAGATAATCAGAGAACTATTTAAATGTTCCTGCTCTTACTGGACTTTTCAGCACTCATCTGAGACAATCTGCAAAGGCACTTTGGTAAATAAGTAAGACCTTTTGGCAATTCCATTTTGACCAAACAATGTCAACATGAATGAATTATACTGTATTGCTTTGAGATGACCAGTCCACCTGTAAACGCATGCTAAACATTTTAAGGCACTTTGCTTTTTCTTATTGATCTTGAAGGGATTATTATTTTTTTAATCTTTTGTTTTTGCTGCATACAAATCAAATAGTGATAACAAAATTGGAGGCACGCTTTCTGCAGGTGTGAATAAAAAAAAAACGCACGTTACAAGATAACGAGGATCAAAAACCATTCACAGTTGAAAAAAAAAAAAAAATATATATATATGTAGAAAAAAAACACTTCCTTTTAAGACACAGTGAAAAGTGCTGGTTGTGCTTTTTAAGCTTTTAAAAATATGGAGTGTGTTTTGTTTTCTGGTAATGGCACTTAACTCTAAAGGCAAAACAATGCTTAACGGGGTGAAAACAAAAAACAAAAAACAAAACAAAAATCATTTAGCTACATATGAATATATACTTTTCATACAGCAGATTTGATTGAGAACTGCAGCCTTGTTATTCAGCGTGGCATCAGTTCATATCCATGGATCCTGAGAAGATCACGAAACACTCCACACTGCAAAGTTACAAATAAAGAAAGAAAGACAAAAAATTGTTGAAACATTTTAAGCAACAAAAATACAAAACACACAACCTTTATTAAAGGGCAAATAATACTCACCGATAATGATGATGATTATGAGCACGACTACAGCGATAAGAATTGCCCACATCTAGAAGAAGAGAAAAAAATAAATAAATATTTTTTTTAATTATTAGTTACGTAAAAAAAAAAAAAAAGAAAAGTTTCTAAGACCATTACTCAGGTGTAATAACATGACTGCACTTTTTTTTTTTTAAATGCAAACAAATGATATTCCTTGGTCCTCAAGATGTGCCCATAATACTCATGCAAAAGAGAAAACCAAAAGTAAAAAAAAAAAACCCCCCAAAAAACCAAAACAAACATTTTGAGTTCCTTTTCAGTGCCATAAATTTCAATGCAACCAGCATTGGGTGGCTTTCTATATCTTTAAAAACAACTTGTTCGCATATGCAGCTCCTCCACTTAATAGTAGCACACTGCCCAATCCTTAAATTTTTGTTGTTACAATTACAACAAAAGCAGTACAACCACACAAAGTAGAAGTATGAAACATTTTTTCTTTTCCTTCTCTCTTCGCCAATCAGGTTATATGACAAGTCCACGTTTAAACTGGTCCCATACTTTTGAAACTATTGAACCAAAATAGTGGCCATTTGTTCTACCCTCTCATTCTTTTCTAGATCCTGTACTACTATAGATAAAGAGGGTAAAGTTGGAGATAACTAGCAATAGCGATTATAGAAGGAATAATTAAATTTAAATACATAAACAAAAAAAACAAAACAAAGAACCCTTATGTGATAAATAAGACATGAAGGATAAAATCCCCAAAACAAAACCTCAAAATTAAAGCGGCACTATCATGCCGAACTTACCTTTCTTTAATCGATTCCTCTTCTCTCCCGCTGTCAGGATCTGTTCATTTCTTCCTGTCTGCTCTAGTTTTCTTTAAAACATAAGACAAAGTAGGGACTACTAGGTTTCCTACGCCTGACCATCTTTGACCAGGTGAGGAGCAAAGTGTGCTTAATTTCCTGTGGTCATAGCAATTTTCTCACAATTCTCACCTTTCCTCAGTATTCCCGCGAAGCCTCCTTTCACTTTACTTTTCCTGAACGTCCTGTCATTTAGACACAAGGACGGCAAAACTACCGAATTGCGTCCTAACAGAATGAGAACAGTTTCACAATTAGTATTAGGACGCAATTCGGGACTTTGTTCGGATCGGAATTTCATCCTGTGGCTACTCACGGATTAAAAAAAAAAAAAAATAGTATCCCTCTCCCAAGCCGCTCGAGTGGGGGCTATTAAACTAAAGGGTGGGGACCTACCATGCCCCCCCCACCACTCCATGAGGTGGGGCCTCTAAATAACAATGGGGGGGAGACAGACATATTGAGCTCCGCTTATAAAGCCTTCCCACCATGCAATTAGACTTAGACCGCTCTAGTTGGTTGGCTTGAAATCCATCCAGAGTGCTCTGTGTCATTTTACACAGCATGGAAAAATTCCAAATAAATTTCCTACGCTATGTAAAATGAAGCAGAGCACTCTGATTGGTCGGATTTCAAGCCAACCAACCAGAGTGTTGTGACAGGTAAATGTAGAGACTTAGAGGGGTGGGTGGAATATCAGTACATGTAATTATAGTATGTAGCTGCTGAAAGTTCCCAAAAACCAGTCTCCTCTTTTCTGGTGGTACGATGTGTGCAAATAGTAGGATTTGGGAGCAGCGCCGGTTATGGAATTCCCACGCTCCAAGTGATTTGGAGGAGGGAACAAACAAACAAACAAACAAAAAATCAGTAACATAAAACAGCGTTTTTAAAGCTATTTTATGTTACTTATTTTTTTGTCTCCAATAAAGATTGCCCAGTTATGCTATTGGAGCCTCTAAGCCTATCCTTTTATTTTTTTAAATATATTCCTTTCTACTCTCCTTAACACCCCCACTGGAGGACTCAAGGAGTGATATCCTTGGTGGGGATCATATCACCTACGCCTGCATATATTGAGCAATATCCCATTTGCTCTTCACTTGTGAGTATACCTCCATCTTTTAACATTTTATTTTGTATCATCCAGAGAACACTATTTTGTGTTTCTATCCTTTTTTTTTTTTTCCCTCTTTTCTTTTATAATCACCAACTATTCGAATACCGGCCCACTGCCTCTGGAAACCCCTTTTTGAGGACATCCAAGGACCATCTACATATCCATAGACTGGGATTATACCGTCCAGGCGCACATATCTGGAGAGGAGTATAAGCTCCAGAAAATTATAAGCGCAATTCCTTTTCCTTCATTTACCACCACTTAAGATCCTAACATACTACACTAAATCCGTGTCTTTTTCCTTCCCTCCTCCAAATCACTCGGAGCGTGGGAAATTCCATAACAGGCGCTGCTCCCCGATCCTACTATTTGCACCCAAATGTAGAGACTTGCCTGTCAGTCTCTTCATTTACCTGTCAGAGCACTGATTGGTTGGCTTAAACCAACCACAGCGCTCTGAGCCTAATAGCAGGGCGTGGGAAGGCTTTATAAGCCTTTGCCCACCCTGCGGAGCTCATTCTGCGCCGTGCCCTCCATGAGTGAAGATAATTTTTTACCGTCCGTTTTTTTTTTTTCTATTTGGGGGGGGACGACGACGACGATGATAGGTCCCCCCTTAATAGCCCTCACTCGAGCGGCACGGGTGGGGGCTTAGGAGGGGAGATGCTCACAGTTTACTAGACATGCCCCTACTCGCGGCATAGTGAGTAGGGGCAGAATTTACTAATACTAAGTAATCTTTAGGGGGGTTGGGAGGGGTGCTCACTGTTTAATAGACATGCCCCTACTCTTTACTAAGTATTAGTAAATTTGGCAGAGAGACCAATTTAGGTCTTTCAGCCTTTTGGTAGATAGCTCCCTAATATCGTGGGAATTAGGGCGTTATCTACTAAGCAGCTGCAAGATGCAGCACAAAAAGGATCTGAGTTTAATTCATTCCGATTGGAACAAAGGTCCGAATTGCGTCCTAACACGAATGCAGAAACCGTTGGAGTGGTGGTGGGGGGCGGGGGGGAGAAGGCATGGTAGGTCCCGCCCTTTAGTTTAATAGCCCCCACTCGAGCGGCTCGGGAGAGGGATACTATTTTTTATTTATTTTTTTAAACCGTGAGCAGCCACAGGATGAAATTCCAGTCCGAACAAAGTCCCGAATTGCGTCCTAATACTAATTTTTAAACTATTCTCATTCTGTTAGGATGCAATTCGTTAGTTTTGCCGGCGTTCTGTCTAAATGACATGACGTCCGGGAAAGGTGAGAGGAGGCTTCGTGGGAGCATGGAGAAAAGGTGAGAATTGTGAGAAAATTGCTCTGACCACAGGAAATAGAAACATAGAATGTGACGGCAGATAAGAACCATTCGGCCAATCTAGCCTACCCAATTTTCTAAATACTTTCACTAGTCCCTGGCTTTATCTTATATTTAGGATAGCCTTATGCCTATCCCATGCATGTTTAAATTCCTTTACTGTGTTAACCTCTACCACTTGAGCTGGAAGGCTATTCCATGCATCCACTACCCTCTCAGTAAAGTAATACTTCCTGGTATTTTTAAACCTTTGTCCCTCTAATTTAAGACTATGTCCTCTTGTTGTGGTAGTTTTTCTTCTTTTAAATATATAGTCTCCTCATTCACGGTGTTGATTCCCTTTACGTATTTAAATGTTTCTATCATATCCCCCCTGTCCTGTCTTTCCTCCAAGCTATACATGTTAAGATCCTTTAACCTTTCCTGGTAAGTTGTATTCTGCAATCCATGAACCAGTTTAGTAGCCTTTCTCTGAACTCTATCTCAGGTATCAATATCCTTCTGAAGATACGGTCTCCAGTACTGTGTACAATACTCCAAGTGAGGTCTCACCAATATTCTGTACAATGGCATGAGCATTTCCCTCTTTCTACTGCTAATACCTCTCCCTATACAACCAAGCATTCTGCTAGCATTTCCTGCTGCTCTATTACATTGTCTGCCTACCTTTAAGTCATCAGAAATAATCACCCCTAAATCCTTTTCCTCAGATGTTGAGGTTAGGACTCTATCAAATATTCTGTACTCTGCCCTTGGGTTTTTAGCACACTTTGCTCCTCCACTGGTCAGGCGTAGGAAACCTCCATAAGACAAGTAGTCCCTACTTTGTTTTCGGTTTTAAAGAAAACTAGAGCAGACAGGAAGAAATGAAGAAGAGACCCTGAGAGAGGAATCGATTAAAGAAAGGCAAGTTCGGCATGACAGTGCCGCTTTAAGTGGGAAGTTTACATCGGCTATATTCTGAATTGCACTAGAATAGGTCAAAACCACCATATATGTGCATGTGTTCAAGCAGCCACACCAGCATAAATGAAATTGAGAGTGAAAAATGTGCACCAATTGTGCTGGTGGTAAATATCAACAGAACAAAATCTTATTAACTGCATTGTGAGAAACACATTTAGAACATTTAGCACGATTAGTTTGTGATCCATTCCATGAATCAGTAAAGAACATGCCAACTCCTTTTCACACACAATAACGCAAGACATTTTGGCTGGGAAAGTTAAAAGTATCAAAAATTAATGGCAAAAAAATAAATAAATCTTTGATGTTTTGCTTTCTATGCCTTCGTACAGAAGGAAATTTGGTGGGAGAGGGGAACCCCTTGAGTTAGAAGAGTACTATACGTTATAAGGAAGCCTTTGATATTGAAGATACTCCTTTTAGAGATTGCCCATTGCTCCAGAATAGGTTAAACACTTGACAATGTCAAGCCATGAAATATCTCCCAATACACATACCCCCTTCTCCTCCGTTTGCCCCACTCTTAATTTAACAAATCAATGCCCAATGTCAAAGCTACCAATCACTAAATCTTGATGAGTTGTACCTTGTGTTCCTTCAAGCCAAACAAACATGGAATGAAATTGGACAATTTAGATAATCACTTCAACCAAAGATTCTAAAACAGGCTGCCTGGGATATCAAAGCATCCTCCACACCCAAGCAGCAATGAGAGCAGCCTGCAGAATGCATTAAAATGTCATTACCTTACAGTTCTTCCACCAGTATTTTCTCTTCAGCTTGGCAGCGCTAGTCTCAAACTGTGATGCACCCGCTTGTAGAGCATCTGCTCGATCATCCAACTCAGACAACTTCTGGTCCCTTTCTAGGACCTTATCCACATTAACTCGCATGATGTCCACCACCTAAATTATAAAATTATAAATAAATATCGCTCCAATTTTAATGCAATAAAAACAGAATTTTTTTTAAAAATTAAAAAAAAAATATATAAGTTTTTTTGGCACATGTTCAATCTCACAGGTGAAAAAAAAAATATATGTAAACATTGCAGGTTCAAAAATAATAAAAATGCAAAGGTTTTAAATTGTCCAAGTAAAGGGACATTTTTGCACTAAAGCCACTTCAGTAAGGTGAAAAAGGTTTTTGTGTGCAGAGTGTCCTTTTAAGCACTTCCACATTCCAATTGCAATCTGGATGACACTATATTGCTGAGAACCATAGGCTAATCTGTCTATACACATATATATACACACACACAAACACATATATATACATACATATACATATATATATATACACACACACACACACACACACATACACACATACATATGTAGAAAGGCCATTAGGCCTGAATTTGTGGGAGGAGTAAGTCCCCTACTTAAACTCCCAGCCCCTACTCACCACTGCCGCTCAGCTGATTGTCCTCATAGCAACCAGCACTTCCGGTCCAGCTTCCCTCCAGAACTGTACCTGTTTCCAGCAGTCAGACGTCCTGATCAATCCTCCGTCCGTTCGAGGTCCTTCCACTCGGTTTTTCCCCGGTCGAGGTACCCGACTTCCGGTCACGAGACCGGCACGTAAGCGAGGCGAGGGAATTAGCGTTCGCTATTCCCCGCCGTTCGGGCCTAAAAACGTAGGGGTAGGCTCCCTCTATCGCATTTACACGAATACATGCTCTTCGTATAAAGTTTCCGTTCACGCCAAAACGCACGAACGTTCGGCTCATTTTACTATCGTTTAAACATTTTCGTACGGAAACTACCGAATCTATATTTAAAGTATTAAGCTATTTAAAAGTATTAAGTATTAAGTATTATTACCAACCTATTTCGTACGGTTAATACACGAACACCATCTTACTAATCCATATTCGGCTATATTTCTATTCTAACAAGCTAAAGTATGCACAAGTTCTAATCACACGAATCCTACTACATTTTTCGTATATTCCTTGTTCGGTCAGATTATTACCAATACCTTCACATCAGTATGGGGTTATACTATCTGGTTTAACTACCAGCCTTGTGTTTTTCCTACCTATGCTAACCTATTAACGTATTTTACTGTAACAAACATACTGTTTTAACCATGGTACATACCTTCATACGTGACTAATACAAGCAATACAATTTTTTCTAAAAACACTCAGATATAAGTCATTTAAACACTACGTGCAAGAAATACCCATTACACCAACATCCGTACTATTCCTTTCACATAAATCACGCTGTCACATATTTTGGCTTTTACAGATTGCATCGGTCTCTTGCTTTTCTGCGCTAAAGTTGTTATTTCAAGGTCCTTTATTACAGGAACAGGTATTGTATCTTATCACTTTGAGTTATCAGGTTTTATCACTTACCTTCACATCTGTCGCTAAATATGGAAATTGTCTTTGGTTAAACCCTTAGATCCTGTTTTATTCTAAGCTTCCACCGATTCTACGCAGTTAACCTGCCACGCTTAAAAGTAATCTCTGTACTTCAAAACCAAGGTATAGTTCACTCTCTTTTCCATACTAGACCTCACGCGGTCTCAATTCCATTACTACCTTTCCTCAGGCTTACGCCCACGATATGTTATCTCTTTACTACTTGTCTACACAGACATTCGGTCGTACAGCCATCAGGCTCAGAAAACACCAAAAACCTGACCCGGTACTCAGCAATACCTTCAGGTACTTACGTCCTTACTCAAATACGTCCATTCGCTACCCCAAGGCCTCATTCTGCCTTCTCACAAATATCTAAAATCATCCTATTCTTACACCTAACCTTCCAGATCCCTCAATGCAGGATCTCACGTTGCGCCCCTAACAAACCTACTCCCAATACTAATCATACGACATCACGATACGCATAAATACATCAACATCTGTCTTAAACCCTCAGGATTCTTCCTCAAAGACAGCATTAAGACAAGACTCTCTACACTTATCAGGAGGCTCCAGATACCATTTGCGACCAGTCAAGGTTAGTATCCACACATCACTCCAGTCCTCTCACTTTACCCTTAAGCATACAATCGAACTGGCTATAGGGCACAGGCTAATGCCTTAGCCCACCCTATTAGGAAATCCGATCCCGCGAGGCCTATCACCCCCACCCCACCTCAACACGGAGGTACAGCCCCACGCCCAAACCATAGTTATAAGCCTCGCATGCCCTACTACAGGGCTCTAGTTAGGGCCTCACCTGTCACGGCCACACGTTTTTGATTTCTCTTATCGTCACCGAGAGGCCAACATCCCGCCACCACGTCTGTGGCACCTACGTCATAAATCATAGGTAGAGCCTCTCACCGCCACTTGGCATTAGCAGGGCCTCACCTATCCAGTCATTCAACAGTTAAGTTTTTCACCTCGGCATCTAGCATTACAGTCCAGTTCTTCCAGATACACCACCCCCCATACCTCTCCTACTTACCTCACTCCCCCTCTAATATATCTTTCACATAATCATTCATTTTTAGAATGTCCCAAGAACCAATTCCAACCGAAGAATTGACAGAAGAAACACCATTCACGCCAATCAGACCCGTGTCTCCAGGCGAATCTCTCACTCTTTCAACCCCCACGTCCTTGAGAGCATGGACTATTCCCAAAATCACGACCAAGCTTAGGCTCAGGGGAATCCCCTTTCCGGCCACAGCTAGAAAGGCAGAACTTTACAGGCTGCTTACCCACCAAGCCCCCGAGCCTAGGCCTCGAACTAGCTCTCAAGGACAACCACCAAGAAACAGCACGGCCACCCAGGATACCCTGGCAGATATCTTGGCCAATCTACAGACCCTCAATAGCAGGCTATCTAAGGTGGAGAGCGCCATCTACTCCTCAGGTACTAACACCGAAGTCCCAGTCTCTACCACAGCTGTACCTGCTATACCAACATGCCCCCTATACTCCCCCCTCCAGCACCTGGCACAGCCATCACACCATTCGAGTCACCAGCACACTCTGTCCCAGACTCTATCAGGAAAGATATCCTAGACGGGAAGGATGTGTGTCTGGTGTCTTTACTCATAGCCTCTCAGGATATACTCGAGAACAAGGCATACAACTATGGTGACATTTCAGTTGTGCTCAAAACGAGGGATCCCAGGCTCAATAAAAAATTGTCTATCCCCCAGTTCGTGATAGCTTTCGGGATATACCGTGACGTCATTTGCACAGTGTATCCCCACAGGAGAGAAGAGCTAGATCTCTATCTCCACAAGGTAGTGGATCTAGGCATCAAGTACGGGGGCTCTTCCTTCTATGACTACCACAAGTCAGTTTCAGCGAAGGCAGCGACCCATCTCAAGCAGTTCAACAATAGAATGAACTGGGGTCAGATGGACACAGAACTTTTCTGTTGCCACTTCGCTGGACTCAGGCCCCCGGCTTGTGCCATTTGTAATTCTACATCCCACATGGCGGACTTATGTCCCGTCGAATCAGATCCCACCACCTCCACTCCCACCACATACCCCACGTTCACACCTCACTCCTCTTTCACCCCTCACAACAAGCCAGCGGGTGGTCTTCGGGATAAGCTGGGTAGGCCCATCTCCTTTTTAGGTAAGGCGCAGGTGTGCAATAATTTCAACGCAGGCTCCTGCAGTTTCAGCGCCTGTAGATTATTGCACATCTGCTCCATATGTTTCAGGGCACATACCAAGACCATGTGTCCAGCCAGGTTGTCACCAAACAAATGACTAACCGACATACATATCGACAACCTGTTTTTTTATCCAAGGTCTCACCCCAGCAGGCACTTGGTGGATTTTCTCACCACAGGTTTCTCACAAGGGTTTCACACAGGCATAGTAGCCATTCCCCCAGGTACACTAGAATGTCCTAATCTCCAGTCAGCATGTTTAGACCTAGTCGCTATAGACACTCATTTCCTCAGAAACCACTAACGGTTTCATGATCGGGTCCTTCACCTCTTCACCGTTTTCCTCCTGGCGCACTAACCCTATTGGTATTGCTATTCACAAATATTCTAATAAAAAACGTCTTATCATCGATTTATCGGCACCGCACTCCTCTTGTTCCAAGCATAAACGCACTCATTCCAGCATACGAATTCTCACTTCAGTATGTTACCATAGACAACGCCATACAGTCCATCATATCATCTGGTAATCGACCCTGGCTCAGCAAAACAGACATCACAAAGCGTTTAAATTACTGCCCATACACCCCTCACTCTGGCACTTACACGGTGTTAAATGGCGAGGGAATTATTACTTCTCAACACGACTCACTTTCGGTTCTCGAAGCAGCCCCAAACTTTTCGACATTTTTGCAGAGTCACTATGCTGGCTGCTTCTGAACGTCATCAGGTGTCACTCCGTTATTCACTATCTAGACGACTTTCTACTGATAGAGCCAGGGTCATCAACACCCTCATCAATTAAAAGTACTACCGCACTATGTTCCACACTTGGAGTCCCTTTGTCCCCAGCCAAAACTATAGGACCCACAACAAAGTTGACTTTTTTAGGCATAGAGCTCGACTGTCAAACTCAGAACTAGCCTTCCCCACGACAAACTATCACGATTGAGAGGGGAGATAGACATGTTCCTGCGGAATGATGTTTGCACCAGGAGAGAACTTCAGTCCCTTCTTGGATCTCTGAACTTCGCCATGCGCATCATTCCGCAGAGAAGGTCTTTCATATCCAGACTTCTTTGCCTGCTCCACGGAGTCCCAGACTCCGGCACAGTTTCTTTGGACCCCCACGCCAAGGCTGACTTAGCTATGTGGGGGAAGTTTTTGAAAGACTGGAATGGTATCTCCATGTTTATCCCCCTCTCTCCACCTCTTCACCCATCATCCACACAGACGCAGCAGCCAACACCGGTTTCGCAGCCATTTTTGGGAACCACTGGTTTAGGGGCCACTGGCCCACTGAGACGGATGCCTTGCCAGGATTCAGGGAGACCTCAGCCCTATTTGAAATTTACCCCATTGTGGCGGCCGCACACACCTGGGGTCATCTCTGGTCCGGCAAGGCAGTAAAATGCTACTCAGATAACTCAGCAGCTTGCGAAATCGTTAACAAAGGGCGCTCATCATCCCTGACCATCATGCGGCTGATTCGCAAGTTGACCTGGCTGGCAGCATCCGGTCAGTTTCACTTAGTATGTTCTCACATCCCGGGTATTCACAACACGGCCGCTGACGCTCTCTCGTTCTCAATTCCAGGCATTCCAGGAATTCTCAGGCACTCCCAACGGCTCACCAACAGCCATCCAGGACACCACGGTTTCACAAACTAATCTGGGATTAAGCACACTCTTGCTTCACGCTAGATCACTCACTCACCAAGCATTAATCACCCAACACTGCTATCACTTACAATAGGGCACTTAACATATTTAACAAATTCACTGCAGAATTCGGTCTACAAGGTGACTTTTCTATCCAAACCATGGGGACTTTTGCCTCTTTCTGCCACCTACACCTTAAACTGTCGCACAACACCATTAAACTTTACCTCACCGGGGTTCAGCACCACAGCCTCACCAGTTTTCCTAACAGCACTCCTTTTTTGTCATCATACCCCATTAAAAAGGTCTTGAAAGGTATATCAAAGGTTCTCTCAAGCACTAGATTACTTATAGATGGGCCTATCTTCAGGTCACTTAGCAATCTCCTTGACACAGCCCCATTCGATAGCAACACCAATACGGTGATCAAATCTGCTATATATCTCGCTTTCTATGGTTTTCTCAGACCTAGAGAGTTCACCGTGGTTTGTCAAGGAGATATCGTGCTAAGCCTTAAAACTTCACACCTCACCAAGATAGAGGATCACTACCTACTTTCTATCCCTACCACTAAAACCAACCGGTCACTACACCCTACAATAATTCCGCTCTTCCCTACTGATAATGCCTGGTGTCCGGTGAAAGTTCTAGACCAACTACGGTCAACTCTTCACGCTCACCTGCCAGACTCTCTGCTCTTAACATTACAAGGGCACCCGCTTACCACGGCAAAATTTATGTTACATGTCAGAACCCTGTTATCTAAGCTCGGACACAACCCTGCTGCATTCTCCGGGCACTCCTTCCGTATAGGAGCCGCCTCAGCAGCCTCTAGCACAAACGCACCGGTCCACATCATCAAAAGGCTGGGGCGATGGAAATCCTCCATATATAATGCATACATTCCGCAACCGGAGAAAGAGCTTCGCCAAGCTTTCAGGAACTTGGTCTTGTAAAATGCAATAAAGTGTGTATTTTCTCAAATTTATCTTTTGCCCTCTTTTATTTACAGGCCCACTCGTACGTTGGTTTCGGCACACCACAACCAACTTTGCTCACAGATACTATCCACTACGTATTTAAATTCCGAGCACAAATATATACATACACACATATACATACACACACACATACACACACACACACCAAAGAAGGGGAGGAACATTTCACAATTATTAAATCAGTACAATGAAACTACAAACATACAAACACAAGCCTTTAGAGAAAATAGTAAATTACGCAGCAGGACAGAAATGTTATTTTTAAAGCAAGAACCAAACAAACCACATAGATTTAATTTAAAGTCATTCACAAAATCGACATGAAAAATTTATGCCGCGTTTGTGACAAAAGCCAAAAATAGAGCTGCGGCGGAAGCCAATTGAGCTTTCTGATAAACCTGGGGTTTGAATGAACTGGGATAAATAGAGCATTTGTTTAGAAGTAGGTCTTTCAGCGCTGCCATGAAGATGCTTGCAGAGTGGTGATGCTAGTAGTCTTCTGACATGGCATTTAACCCAAAAAAACAAAATATCAGACAAATTAATTCTGTTATCACAAAAAAAAATAAAAAAATATATAATATATATCATAATATATCTTTGTTTAGCACCCAGATATATTATGGATGAACTTGAATCCCTTGTTTTTGTTTTCTGAATTTAAGGACAGGAACATTTTAATCAAAGTCATGTTGTAAAATCCTGTAGTCTTCCTTATTTATTTATTTTTTGGCACATGTTCAATCTCACAGGTGAAAAAACAAAGAACAAAAAAACAACCTTTTACATTTAATGGAGCGAATTGGGTCAATGTTACAACTAAAAGGGAAAAAAATAAACTTAAAATTTAATTCATGGAAACCGGATGACCTCATTAACTTGAGCTTGTGTCTGTTGCAGACGACGATTACTGGACGCCACATCGCTGGAGCCTGCTGGTGCGGGAGTAGACCTAAAAGAATCAGAAGGACATGTTAAGGATGGTGACATTTTGTATCATTGTAGGACTACTTAAAATTGTTACAACGTTTCAGACACAATATGCTATTTTTTTACATTTGTAATCTGGATGTCAAAAAAGGAGAACATAAAAACATGTGGATTAGACGAAAAGTATGCTAGAATCCAGTAGAAATAAGTTTTGGAGTACACACTGATGACTTTTGTCCAACCCATAACTTCTAACAGAAACACTGGGGATATAGGGTACATGTACGGCAATCTCTGCCAATCAAGTGCAATGGATGTGTTTGGCATCATCATGATCTGTGTGATGACAGAAATAAAGAGCTCCAAGAAAATGAAAAAAGTCATAAGGAGGCAGTGCCCCCACAGGAGGTGTCCAACAGCCACTATTTATCGGTTATCCATTACTGGCATTTACAAAGCGACAACATATTCCACAGTGCTGAACAACTAAATTTATGTTCTCAAATATATGTAAACATTGCAGGTTCAAAAATAATAAAAATAAAAATGCAAAGGTTTTAAATTGTCCAAGTAAAGGGACATTTTTGCACTAAAGCCACTTCAGTAAGGTGAAAGGGTTTTTGTGTGCAGAGTGTCCTTTTAAGCACTTCCACATTCCAATTGCAATCTGGATGACACTAAATTGCTGAGAACCATAGGCTAATAATCTGTCTCCAGCACCTATATCCAATTAATGTAATCCATATGGCAATATCCAAAGACAAAATGTAGAGGGTTTCCAGCAAATCAAAACAAAAACAACCATTTTTGTTACTATAAGGTTGCATACAAGAACAATGAGATTTCACATGGAAAGAAGTGTGATCACTGTACTAGGTCATGCCTAAAACACACACACGTGTACAGACACACCTTCCCTGATGTAGAACAGGGAAACAACTCTACACAGTACAGTCTGTTATAACCCAGGGTGTTATTTACAGTAATGCACGCTTACAAAACACGACCAGAAAAGTACACTACAGTAACTAGCAACCATTCCCTATTTTAAGGGTAAACTCTTTGTATGCAAAAGATCAAATTCCCCAATTAAAATATCACAATACTACTAAATAATGTTTCAACAGATCAGAGATTTATTAGTTGCAACAACGTTTCAGAACAATGTTTAAACCCAACTGCTAGAAATGAGGTGACCATACTAAGGCTTTTGTAAACAAAAAGTAACTTTAAATAACTTTTGTAATGCTTACGTTTGAAAGAAATATGGATTGCTAAATTATACATTTTAAATATAAATGTGATTTTAAAAAAAAAGAAAAAAAAAGTCTCATATCTACTCTTTATAGTCTCTCAGAATGGAGGAGAGAATAAAAAAAAAAAAGCTAGAAAGGGCCCTAAGACTAGATAAGATGCTAGCGGATTTATGAGGTGCAAGCGGCACAGGTTAGGAAAATTAATGGGGACAAAGTAATTCTGGGAAGAAGGTTAGTTGCCAAGGACCCCCTTGTCACTAAGCATTGCATGAGACAAGGCAAGTAACACACCGAGAATTTAAGGTGTGCCAATAGATGCTTAGCTCACACAATAGTAGACACTAGTTACAGCAAATATTTAACACCAAACGATTGCGGGTTTCTCGCAATGTAGTGATGTCTCACACACTCTGGCTCCTACTATTACATTAGGATGCACTGTAAAGGTGCCCTGAGATCAGTACTAAGTACAGGTCATTGTTAATGTCCAATGCTGTCAGAAATCATGTACGAGGTGACCCATCTGCAGGCAAAGTAAATGGCAGTGAGAAAGAATGCGGGTTAGGCAGAATAGGAGTGAGCCAAAAGAGAAAACTGGTAGAGAGAGACGAGCTGGTATATCGAACAGAGCAGCAGGGGAAGGAGCACCCACTTCTAGTCCCCCCTGTAACAGAGACCATTTTTCCATTTGTCACAGCCCCTAACCAAGTTATTTGTGAATTTAAATAACTGGGTAACAGACATGCAGTTGGGAAAAGGGCACATACATCCGGATACAAATTCACTGACACTCTTTGTAAATACATCCAGGTGATTACATAAACTGACAGTCTATTGTGGGGACAAAAGACGTGCTTCATGAGCATTTATGGCTAAAAAATTTTAGGCCCGATTAGTAAGTTAAAACTCAAAAAGCTCACATTTTTATACCTTGATATTTCATGTTTTAACAAGATAAAGAAAAAGACAATAACACTTTAAAAGAACATTCCAAACATCTAACACTTCATGAAGTGCTTTATGTGTGAACAGAGTATGTTCTTTTTCCATTTTCCAAAAAGTGCAGATGTCAAGAGCAATTGGCATTTTTATGAATGAACCTTGTTACGCCAGGAAAGTGGAAATAAAAATAAATCTATTTGTTCAAGAGACTAAAGTGGTAGCCCAATCTACTAGTCAGTCAGGACAACCTACTTGTCCGGATACAAGATAATATCAAAGATAGGGGGCCCTTGCCTAGAGCCATGGACACTGACAGGCCTATTTGCTAATTTAATCTGAATGGAAAAATGGAGGCAAAAACCATTGCTTTGGAAATAGTCTCAAACTTTGCTATAGTTAGAACAAGGGTATTTTTGCTTCACTTTTGCCATTTAGATTTATTTTGCAGAGATTCCAAGTTTTGTGAATTACCCTGGGTGTAGTCTCTCCATTTGTCATAGTGGGTGTGCTCATATGGGTTAACAAAGAGTAGTGTACCAACGGGAACTGGTATGTAATATACTCTAAATAGAGAGCCAGCCAACTTCCAGATCTGGAAGCCAACTTCCAGACCTGGAACAGTTAAAAGAAAAAATACATTTTATTAAATAATCAAATGAGGAACTAATTGTATACAGTGGTGCTCGGGTACAATAAGTGAGTGAACCAACAGGTAAATGCAATATCTAGTGAATGCAACCAGCTATTATGGTAACAAAGTTCTGCTATTCATGTAAGGTTAGGCTCAATAAAGCAAAAACTGCTTATTGCAGTAATATATGGATAGCAACTTGCTAGCTGCCTTTCATACTGGTTGGTAGCAACTAGGCAAGTATCAAAACAAGATGTTGAGGGATCATTCTGTATGATTAGTCAAAAATCTGGTATTGATATCACCTTGCACACGTAACAGTGAAATTCAGCAAGAGGTGAGAGTCACATAGCAATAGGAATATACATAACAGGAGAATTTTAATATATTTTACTAAAAATATTTTCTTCTTTTCACTGAAAAGTTAGCTGCCACTCTATGTAAAGTATTATTCATCCCAGTTCCCGTTGGTACACTACTCTTTGTTCACCCATATGAGTTTCTAATTTGGGGTTACCCCCCCGTCTCTAGTGTACCAGTTGAACCACTGGCGCGACTTCTTTTCTCTTCTTATAGTGTGTGCCGGCTGCATATAATGGATGTATTTTAAAAGTAATGAGATTCAGAATTTTATTCTCTACAATTAGAATGTTTTATGCATGTATAAGCGATGCTTATAACATACAAACGTAAATACCAATATAATCCACATGTATAATTTTTTATTATGTATAAATACATACAGTATAAAAATTGTTGAATTTGTTTAGTCAAACATTGTCCTCACTAACCAACACACACACACACACACACACAATATACTTTTTGTCACACAATACACAATCACTAACCCGCACACTGTAATTCTGAGACACATGCTAACATGCATACCCATAAACACATACTCCATACTCAAACACACTAACTCACACTGCCATAATCTGGCAGTCTGTCTGAAGATTGCCTCTGACTTTCCTTTACTCAGTGCACAGAGTGCCAGGCCACCGGCATACAAGGTCATGCTGTATCCCGCCTGCCATAAGCTCAGAGCAGCTGCTGGTCCTCGCACCTCCCCATGCCTGGCAGTCCTCTGTGGCCCTCCCCAGTGGAAAGTCCTACCACTGCACCAATACTTGTCTGCGGCAGGGCTGAAAGAATAGAGAAACTGCTAGCCCTGGGTGTTAGTTGATATAAATTCCACATCACACACCCCTTGCTTTCAGACATTACATGATAGATACTTTAATAAATTTAAAAAAAAATAAAAATAAAAAAAAAAGTCAGAGCACAAAACTCTTAGGATTTAGATTTTTGTACTAGACTTGTTTATTGCGGTATTGTGGTGAGTAGATTACAGAGATTAGGTAATAGAAGTAGGCAGGTAATTCATTTTATATTGACCTCTGAAATTCTGCCAAGTACAATTCAGCTTGTACAACATGTATATGTTACAACTCCCTGTCTTGATTTCTGGGATCCACCTGCTTCTATAAAGTACACTGTACAAACTGTTCCAAATCTGAAAAAACCCTTATAACTACACTACTCTGAGGATCAAGTTATGTAAGGTGCAGCCAGGAATAGGTGCATTTGGGGCATTACAGAAAACATGTTCTGTCACCCTAAAGCTCTATAGTGTGTTCTTAATTTTTTACATTGGATGGTATTATGTAATAATAACAACAGGGTATGCTTGAAAAACAATACAAAAAGAAGAAAGAGGATATGGGGCCATACAAAAATTGCATATGTTAGGGCAGTGTATACATACACACACACACACACACACACACACACATACATACATACATACATACATACATATACAGAGCACACCACAATTTACTTTGGAGCAAGTGGTTCTTAATCATGCTTTACTATGTAAATGGCATTCTTAGCCTGAACATCTTTTTGGGTTCTGAGGAAAGTCCCAGGACCAATATGACTCATCACACAGCTTTGTGAACCTTTCCAAGATTAAATAAAGGAGAAATTTGTTATTTTAAAGAAATGTCTGTGAGCGCTACCCTTTTTTTTACTTTTTGGAAAAATCACAGCTTGCTTTAAGCACCTGGCCTGAGTGCAAGGACTTTAAACCAGGGCTTGACAAATCCCATGCGCCAGGTCGCAATGGCGAGCAGGAAATTTGTCCTGGCGCCTGGGATCTGTGAGCCTGCTCAGCATCTGAGGTGACCGGCTGCCAGAGATTAGAGGCGGGCAGTCGGCTCACGCTGGGTTGAGGCGGGCAGGCAGGCGCCTCACTGAGAGCTGAGTGAGGCGGGCCATTCATTCAGTGAGGGAGGGAGGTGGCGAGAGAGCTGTAATTTCCCTGCTCTGCTCCCTTGTGCACCCTCCAGTGATGCTGGGAGCCGGAATATGACATAATTCCAGCCCTGCATCACTAAACAGCACTCTAGAAAGCAGAGTAGACATTTGACAGCAGTCCCCCAGGGAAAACTGATAGGGTGGCAGGATGGATTTAAAATAATAAGCGTAATGATTTGAGAGTGAATGTGGGTGTGAGAAATCAGTGAGTGTGTGTCGGTCAGTGAGTGTGTATGTTTAGGTGACCTACCCCCCCCACCCCCCCCTCCAATCACACGGGAAAGGTGTTTTTACTCACCCTTTATTCCACACTGTGTGCTGGTGTGCTCGCGGCTGGCCCAAACTCCATGGCTGAGATCATCAATCTTGATAATCTCAGGCAGTCCAATGCTTCCCCATAGAAAATCATTGGAACACTATTGCACAGGCGCAGCAAAACACCATGCTGCGCAATCAACTTCTCCTCATGGTGATGCATTGAATTAATGCATCCGTATGGTAGGTGAAGCACTTCTAAAGGCAGTCTGAGTGACTGTCACTAGAGGTGTTACCAAACAGCAATGTAAATCCTGCCTTTCTGAAAAGTCAGCGCTTATATTGAAAAGCATGCAGGGACAGTATATAGACTTCAGAAAAGCAACATTAAGCTGTAGTGGTTCTGGTGACTATAATGTCCCTTTAAGAATTGTATTTTTGATGTTGAAAAATCTGTCTCCTAACTTTTTTTTAGCTGGCTCCTAGATTACAAGCAAATTTGTCAATCCCTGCTTTACCCAGGTTGTGTACGTACACAGACGGTGGCCCAAAAGTAGGTCACAACAGGTTATATGGGTACACATACAAAGTGCCAGTTAATTTCAGGCATTTAAATATCAGTGTGGCAGTTGGAAAGGAATGTTGGAGAGGAATGTTGCAATGTTGATGGAAGACATTTCAAGCACTTACAAGAACAAAATATGAATGTAATACACAATGTAATTAAATGTAAATAAACAATACTGTATATCTATTTTATATACAGATAGATAGAAATTCCACCAAGAATTTTTGGCAGCGCATATGCAGTAAAACTCTTGCCTCCCTAAGAGTCTTTGTTCAATCCAGGAGATCCTACATTGGACCGCTAAGGGGATTAGATCAGTATTCTAAAGTATTGATGATACATTTAGTTTTATTTGAGATTAAGGAGACACTCTTGAAACTTTAGCTTGCTAAAATGCTTTGCGTGTGTGACTAGCATGTGTCCTCATTTTTCATTTTAGAAAAAGTGCAGATTTTAATAGAAATCTTCATGCTTACAACTTTACCAGGTTTGCAACCCTCCTTGGCTTTCAAGTAGTCAGCAGGTCGTGTTACTTCCTGGTTCAGTTAGCTCAGTTAAGCTAAACTCAAGAGGCAGACAACTGCTCAGTGCACTTTGCCTTGCAAAGATGTCTCATAAAGCTGCACTGAAGGTTTGATTGGACAGTCACAGAAAGACTGGGCCGAGTCAGAAAAAGAGAGCTTGCCAAAAGAAGACGACTGAAGATGTTAGGGCCCACTGGGGAAATCATTAGGTAAGTATAACTCACATCTGCTGCACCCCTGGGCCACCACAACCTAAGTGGCAATATCCCAATTTGACAGTTACTTTAACACGGTTTGTGGATGTTTACTTAAATTCGCCAACAGGGTTATTCAATTAAAGTGAGAATTATCAAGAATGTAAAGTGAACTTAAAAGCCAAAAAAATATTATGGCCTCAAATTTCAAAATCACTTTGAATTCTTGACATTTATTAAAATTCACTTTAGTAATTAGCTGTGTAAAAGTGATGGGGTGTTATGGCATATCTGCAGAGTAAGTGATCATTTCTGGCCACTAAGAAATATACGGCCACTAAGTGGTTGGTACAAGCAGTTATGTCTAGTGCGGTGCTGCAGGAGGCTGTACTTGTGTCTTGTGAGGGTGGTTGGTAGGCGAGGGTATAATATATATGAGCAAAATCCCAATAAAAATATCTAAACTGGTTTATTTAGCATTTTGAAAGTCACTTGATCGCTCACCAATTGCAGAGCAACCTGTACAGTGCACTAATCAAAGCAAACAAGGGAGCCAAGCATGAGACATCTCAGCTCCCTCTGCAGGACAGAGTTTGGGAATGATGCAAGCAGACCAAAACTAAAAAAAAAAACAAAAAAAAAACAACAAACAAACCATAATTTACAGTGATTTGTTTGTGCACACACAATATCCAACAAAGAGATATATAATCCTGGTGTAATCCTGTGGTGCCTGGTGCTGGTCTGGCAAGGATCATGTAGACATAGCAGAAATGACCGCACTCCAAGGACTTTATAGAGCTTTTCAAATAAAATTTAACTTTTATTCAATCCATTTAAAAAGTCAACGCTTCGTTGACTTTTTAAATGGATTGAATAAAAGTTGATAGAGATATAATTTTTTTTTTTTTTTTTTTTAAACTCCTTAAAAGGACAACTGTCACCTGAAATAATTTTTTATTGTAAGAATCCTTGCAGCATTGGTATTTTTAAAAAAAAAATGAATTATATGTAAAAATACCTGAATCTACCCACTACTTTCTCAGAATAGTTGATCCCTCTACCATATTCATACACCTTTGGTCAGACTGACCTAGAATCTGACCATTGGGCTCCTGCTTCACTCCCAGCACAGAGCTGGTGAAATCATCCGTCGCCCTGTGTGATCTGCCTGGTCCAAATTGCGATCACATTGGCAATTCTCATATTTACTAAAGCCAAAAGTGTTCAGAATTCGGTCAGTCTCACCAATCCTGTAACATTGGATAAGGAAATCACTGTTTTCCAAACCAATCTACAGCACTTGCTATTCGCTCACTGACAGTGCCGTATGAAAGGGGGGTAAAAATACCTCAGTTATCTTCTCGATCCACATAGGATTGTTATTTACCAATTCTAAATTTATTTTTTGTACTTTTTCCATGTGGCGGATTGATAATAAGCGCTGGTCAGCTGCCACATACTTAATGCTTGTGCTGCCAAGGTGTTATTTTGGAAACCATTTGCCGGCTGGCTGCCAACGCTCTCAGTGGGCAAATAGGTCTTCAAATTATCAGTCATTTGCAAATAGCAAGTGAATGATAATCTGTGAAGCCAGTGCTGTAGATTCAGAATATCAGTGACCTCCTCATCCAAACCAATGTTGCAGAATCAGTCGGTCCGATTGAATTCTAACCACTTTTGACTTTAGCAAAGATAAGAATTGCCAATGTGGTCAGAATTTGGACTAGGCATACCACACAGGGCGGATGACGCCACCACTCTGTGCAGGGAGTGAAGCAGCAGCCTAACCTCAGTTCGACCGAATATGGCAGAGAGATCTAGCATTCTGTGAAAGTAGGGGCCAGATTTTCTGATATTTTTACATCTTTTCATCACATGTTGTAAGAATTAGTCATATGTTTTTGATTTTAACATAATTTAAGAAGTTAAACAATTACTGCAAGGAGTCAACTACAATTTCAAAGCTAAAACTTTGTAAAATGTGCCAATTTTTCATTTATTTTTTTAACTTAACCTCCCTCCCTCTCCTCTTTGTTTCCCCCCCCCCTTCTTACCCCCTATCGCTGCCCTCTTATGCTTCGTCTCCCTTATATCAGGACTAATCACACATTTATGTCTGAGTAACTTTTGTTACAGATGACTATTCCACTAAGAATTCATCGGCCGGAGACGAAATGGCTACTTAACACTGTTTTTTCATGTTCATTGGTTAGGACTATGATTATTAAGCGTGATACACTAACCACGCATGGCCGTTTAATTCTTCCACGTAATGTATCATTAATGGTTAATCCAAATGTATCCACATGGCTATGTAACATTTTGACAAATTTCATTTAACCATTTTATTACAAATCTAGGGCAAATTAGTTAAACGTGCTTCCCCCCAAACCCCCCCGCTCGCTGTCATTGCTGTTTATAGCTCTCCGGTCAGTCTGGGGTCTGACTGTCACAGGAAGAGGGGACCCCCAGGTTTTTTCTTTTTTTAATGTTGGAGGCTGGAGTCAGTGAAAGAAATACTGTGTCAGCTTTACTTTGAGCTAATCTGTCAGTCTGGGGCTACTAACTGAGGACCGGGCTGACAGAGGGTACCCGAGAGATCAGAAAATACATAGGGGTACTTAACCTCTGCTGGTACTTTTACTGCATGACTGTCTATGCCATCACTGGGCATTAAAGTCCTGCATGACAGCATAGACAGTCATGTGGTTGTTAAGTGGTTAACCTACCTTTCATCTGCAAAAAGGATAAGTACAGTCTACAAAATATACCCAAGTAAATGACAGTGCCTTTAAACCACATAAAGGGACAATCTAAGCACAAGAACCACTACAGCTTAAAGGAACACAGAGCTAGGAACACATTCATATTCCCAATACTACAGTTAGTTTATGGCCCCTCTATGTTTTACAAAGACATTTAAAACAAATTACACTGCATTTGTCCAGTGCAGTCTCTCCCTCGGTGTGCCACAACCTGCTCCTTGAGGAACACCATCCTGGAGGCGTGACTCCAGGATGACTGTCCAATCCAATGCGCTCCCTAGAGGAACATCTGGGATCTTAGGCACATGCGCAGCACCTGTCACGCCTCAGATTCTGCCATTGAGAATCATTGAATACAATGATTGACTGTGGCAACACTGCACATGCAAGTGTGATGTCATGGTATATTAAGGTACGAGAGCCGAGAAGTAAGAATCTCGGCTCTCATACCTAGAAGGCGTGGCTTGACGCCACACTTCCAAGCCTTCTAATTTGTGATATAAAGTTTTTTGGGGGTAGGAGTGCAGTAATCATACCATCTTCAATAAGCTGAAGTTGTTAATGTGCCAACAGTGTTCCTTTAATGTAGTAATTCAGGTGTAAAGACACTGTCCTTGCAGTCTGACATTTTTAAAACTGCCTTTTCGGTTTA